GGGGGGGGGGGGACAGAAACATTTAGGCCACATCACATACTTTTGACTCCTGCATTGGAGTCAACTCTGATATCCTTTGTCCCCACAATCATTTGGTTCCCAGAGGTAAAAAAACTGCACCTGCACCAGTATTATCTCTGGTTTTTCTTCCAAGCTGCTGACACCTATTCTGCAAGTTTGTACAAGGTAAATAATAATAAATATCTCACAACCCTCATCTGCTAAACACGATTTTTTTTTAATCCTCACTGGAGGATATTTTTTCCATTGCTTTTCAGAGAGACTGGAAGGGGGAGAGAGAGAGAGACTGATATGAGAGACACATTGATTAATTGACTCCCACACGCTCCAGGAATGGAGACTGCAACCCAGGTACGTGCCCTTGGCTGGAATTGAACCCAGGACCCTTCAGTCTGGTTAGCGGGCCAACGCTCTAACCACTGAGCCAAACCAGCTAGGGCCAAACATGATTTTAAGGCACAGTGATGTTAAGATGTGCCCTGATTCTGAAATATTAAAATGGAAGGAGAGGGCAGAGAATATGTGCACTTTGGACTTGATGAAATGGGTTCATGACAAGGACCAAAGACCAACCCCTGGGGACTCTGATAGTCATAAGTGGGACAGAGGACAGAGTGTCAAGAAGATACACTGATGGAACTGACAGTGTGATAGGACAGCCAGGTGTGTGTCTCAGAAACCTGGAGCAAAGTTTGAAAAAGGGAATGGTCACTGGTGTCATGGGAGTTGACAGGCTGTTGAGGACAGAGAAGAGATCTCTACATCTATTCAAACGGAGGTCGTGGTGACTTTGTTAGGAGCTGTTTCAAGTGAACTGGTGGGAACAAAATCCCCATTAAATTAGGCAGAAAGACTTGGAAATAAGTCAACAGAGATAGGGAGTATAAACAATATTTGCTATGAAAAGGTGGAAAGAAATGGGATGATAATCGAAGGCAGGCATGCGCTTAAGGAAGGGCTTTGCTTTTTAAAAAAGGGTATTAAGCCATGTTTGTACACGAATTTGCCTGATTCCTCAGTGAAGGGGAGATGAATGGTGCAGAAAGGGAGAGTTGCAGGGGAAAGTTCTTCAGAACCTAAGCGGGAGAACAGCTGCAACAGGAGGAGGAGCAAGGGAGAAGAGGAGGCACCAGTGAAGCTGGGGGCTGAGCTTGGTGGCGGGAAGGGGGGGTAACTTTTGTCAGACCCCAATATGTAGGCCAAAGAACTACCCGGTTCTGGGCGTTAATTTTCCTGTCCCTAAAGCGGCCACGTTTGGCGTCCCAAGGGGGCTGCACTACTCTCATCCTCCGCTACCCACCAACCCCCCGCCTATGGTGAGAACAAAGGGTTAATCGCAAGGTTAAAGGTCGGCGAGGTGGCAGGACGCATGCGCCCCATCTAGCCCGTCTCGGGGCCGGCAGTTTCTCACCAGCCTCGCCTTCCCCCGAGGCCCCGGCCCGCTCTCCGCCCCTCCTCCCGCTCCTCTAAATGGAAGGGCGGGGCTCGAGCGGGGGCTG